AAATGAACCACCAGAAGAGGATGCAGCGTTTCACTGGCTCTCATCTCTGTATTGATTTGTGTATGTGCAAGTCATTTTTCCTGTCTTGCTCTCAAACACAAGAGGTGAAAATCCCATTTCTCTCCTGACTGGCATGAGGATTCAGGAGGATTTTTTCTTGTTGTTTTAAAAACTTTCAGTTGTTATTATGTTCTTGATTTCATTTGAAATCTTAGATTTTACTTTAGATTTGGTTTCCAGAGAGAGATTTTGTTGTTAGCGATAGATGAATTTGTCAGGTGCAAGATGCTACAAATTAAGAATCAGCATTAATTATACATATACACATCTCAGTAAATTTATATACCAGTGCTTCCTCATACTGCATGTCTTTTGTAAGTGCCCAGTATTGTTTCAGTTATTTTTTCCATTTTTCTATTCTAGTTTCTATTTCTATTTGTATTTTAACTGAAATGTGTCTCCCCACCCAGTTTTAGTCGTCAGTGACAATAACATGGTTTCTGGCCAAGTTCTACACTAATATTCAGTAGCAAGCTGACCTGCACATGAGCTTAATGGCTCTGCAGCTTGTTATGTATGACAGTTATCAGATGACAGCTTCTGTGGGTTTCAATGCCTTTGCAAAGCAGATGAAACAAACCTATTTTTTTTCTGCACTGTGACAGTATATGCAACCTGGTGGTGTATCTTCGTGTCATCACTTTGTTCCCCCACTTATGTTTGTGATAAGGAAACAACTTGTTAAAGCCTGACAACCTTGCAAACACTCAGTGACCTGACAGGCTAGAAAATGTGTGTTTTGTTTGAATGAGCAGGTGTGTCATTAGGGTTTAAGGTCAAAATGCTTACCTTCGAACTGAGCTGGGTGTGGTTGTATAGTCAACAAACAGAAGGTGTATGTTGTTTGTGAAACTCCACCCAAAATATGTGGGTTGTGCAGTTTTGTTTTATTTCCATTTCACATTCATGAATGAGGGCCTTTTATTAAGTAACAAACATTAATGTTCTGACTAATGTTGCTGATTATATCCATGCTGATAAGACGGTCATAAAGCTTCTGAAAAATACTGCTATTAATAGGAAATTGATAAGAAACTGAGCTATGAATTGCACACTGAATCTCTGCCCATGTACATCAAAACACACTAAAAGCACAACATGGTAACTCATTTGGTTTCTTTAATGCACATCTGAATAATGAATGTAAACGTAGATATTCGATCTTTTTTAATTAAATAGTCGCACATTTCATCCTCTTATTGCCTCTGTAATTAAGTAATCTCATTATCCATAATTAACACATTCCATCACAGTGACATCATCAACAATTTCTTTAATAACTTAGAACAAACAGGCATTCATTTTATTACCGCGTTCTTATGTTGTGACTAATGACTCAAAAATAGTTACTGAAAACATGAAACCGACTTACGGGATTGTTAAATTATCTGGGAGAGGCCAGTGCCGTGTGAAACTGTGGCGGACATTAATATAAAGCGTGTAAATACAAAAAAAAAGAAAAACACGAGCTTTTTCTTATTAATATTTTCCAGTTAACAAAAAGACCAAAAAAAAAAAAAAAAAACGAGAGATGGGGCATAAAACAAACTCATGCAGCTCCTCTTTTTTACTTGTAAAAATGCAGCAATCATTAATAAACGTTGACACAGATCTTGACACAGATAAATCTGTAAACTCTTTACGGCAATTATTTACAATTTATTCAAATCAACTTTGCAAACATGTTAATGTCATTTTGTTTATTTGTGTAGAATGACCCGATATTCTACTTTGTGAAGGACTGCACAGCATTTTTATGCGCCACGTTATTCTTTTTCATTAGCTCTGTAATATTCAACGCTGCAGAACAGAAAGTTTTCTCAAATCTGCCACTGATCAGTGGCTGTGACGAAAGCGGGGAAGGCCCCGTCCCCTTAGGGGGATGCCGATCAAACTGTGCGCACACGGGTTCAAGCTCAGGCTAAGCTGTCACTGTGAACGCTGGCGTTGCTCTAAACGGGAAGAATTTGGAGTCAACCCAAAGTTGAACATTACGCAGGATATGGTGAAAACCCTCACAAAGAAAACCATCACACAGACTGGGAAAATGTTTATTTAATATGAATTATCTGGTTTTATTCCATCCATCCACCCATAATATTTATTTTGGATATTTTTTATTGAAATAGAGAGTACCCCTGGATTGGGGTAAGGAGCAGTAACTAATAGACTTAGGTAAAAAATGAATTTTTAATTAAGTATATAGATGAGCTGCAGTCTATTATTAGCCTGGTAAATGCTGAACCATGAAATAGCTGCCGAACTCATGTATGAAATATGATACATTTGGCGTTACAGGATTAGGTTTTAAAGGGGAATACGTGAGTGGAAGCAGATATCTGGCATGAAAACAGCAAAATGTCAGTCAAAAAACTTGACTTTTACAATTTAAATGACCCAACTGGAAATCTGCACCGTGTGCAGTTGTCATAGCACAACAGCTTACACTGAGACTGCACCTCTTCTTCTTCAATCATTAATATGTCTAGTAAACTTTTCTTATTTCCTGTATTGTGGCCTGTAAAAAGTAATGCCATTGTAGTAGATTTTAAAGTATCACATTGCAGATATTGCACTGCAAACGTGAGCAGGGATAGCTCAGTAGGTAGAGTGGTGGCCCCATGATCGTAAGGTCGGGGGTTCGACTCCACTGAACGGCTACCCTGAGGTACCCCTGAGCAAGGTACCGTCCCTACACACTGCTCCCCGGGCGCTGCACTGGTGGCTGCCCACTGCTTCACTGGGTGAATGGGTTAAATGCAGAGGAACTATTTCCCTATGGGGACTAACACGCACACTTTACTTTACTTTACTTTACATGTTGAGAAAGAAAAACGTCTTTGATCCTTGTGAGCTCTCGCTCGTACCGCCACGCTGATGTGGAGTGAGTCTCCCTGTGCAGTGTATTTTGTTTCAGGTTGGGAAAATTTGCATTATGTAAAGTCATACTGAGATGGCCATCAGCAATTCCTGTTTGAACAACAATCTCTGTCTTACATTTGATACCGAGCAAACCATGTTAGGATTATTATAAAGACTTCAAAGCAAATTTCTGAAGAGGAAAGCATCACGAATGTCTTTTAGCATTTTTACACAATAAACATTTAACTGTTTCTGACTTGGGAGTCCAGATGCCATCGAATGTAAATGAGGTCTATACTTTGATTAGACGTTCAGTTGGTAATTTCTCTAAGTGAACCAGGTGCCAATTATTGCACAGCGAGCCAGCTGAAGCTCCCACTGTTATATTAAGCATTCACCAGAGCTTTGAAATTGTTCTGTCTGTCCTCCTCAGTCTGAGAACCACTGACCCAAGCATCATCCTGCAACACCTGTACCAAAAACCACCACTCAGAAAATGCTTAACCCCGGCAGTAATGGTAGTACTTCTCTAACAGGGTCTGTGTGTGTGTGTGCACGCGCTCGTCCATCAAAGAGCGCTAAACTGCGAAAAATGGAGGACAGCCTTTGATGTGCACTTACATAATCTGTAGCGATGGGCTGGAGAGTCAGAGTTTGGCCAGACACACATTTTCACACTCTGACCCAGTGGATATCCTCCATCTCATTGTCTCCTGCTTGATGCTGATTGGCTCTCAGAGCTGCATTGCATTTACAGTGACCTCTGGCTCTTCATCTCTTCATCTAGTTTTTCCTAAACTCTTGATTATGGCATCTAATCTTTTCCTGATTTGTAGTCTGTAATTAAATTTGCTGCCTGATATTGTTTTCACAGATGCTTCAGTTAATGAATTCAGAGGCCAACTGCTGTCTTCAACTGCTGTGTTTTATTTCACTGTATAGCTGTGCTTTTGCACACATAGTAAGGCTGAGAAGAAGAGAATATGTGAATAAATCAAGGCCTGTGGGCCAACTCGAACCCTTCAAAATGTTTATATGGCTCACATATAATTTCAGTGTTGACCAAATCTGATCCACCCCGTTGTAGCTGTGGTCTACACACACCAGTGTAACCGAGGGGGGTCAGTCTTCTTCCACTTTTTTAAATTATTTCTGCAGGAATTGGCCAGTTGGTGCGGCAGAGGAAATGGAAAGCTCTTTCTGATAGTAATGAGTAAATGTTAACTAAGGTGGAAAAATTGCCACTTGGGGTTCAGGATTTGCCCTTGGACCCTTTTTCAATGACACAGTGGCAGTTCTGTAGCATCAGATTCAGAATACTTCATGGATCCAAGAGGAAATTATGTAAATTATGAAATTACTATGATGGTACTACACCCACTGGCAAGCAGTAGTAACCCTACCATACAATGAGGTATTTATTTTATATGGCACAGGTGTACTACGTGATCTTGACTAAATGTTATAAAGGCTAATAAATGTTTTTGTGTGGCCTGCTTCAGGGCTTTAATGTGAAGAACTAGCAGAAGACATACATTTTCAATGAAGGTAAACCTTGTCAACACACCGTATCTGTCCAGCACTTGATTTCGTTCTCATTTCCCAGTGTGGTTGTTAGTAAAACTACATTTGACACCCTTGATTTTGAACTCAATCCACAGCTGTTTGCAAGGAAATAAACTATGACTCCCTCATAAATACAACAAAAGACAAAATGCTGCTTTTTCTGACCAGAGTGATAAACTCTCAGCATATGGTTAATGGAGAGCAGATATTTACCAAATAACCACAAGTCTCACAGGAGCTGCGCAAACTGATAATAAGTTTATATCATAACGACCTCGGTGATTCAGGGGACTCCTTTAATAATCTAAGATGAGAAAATCTCTTCTCTAATTGGGCAAATTAGTCTCTCTGCTATTAATTAGAAAGATTACTTCAGGAGTCCCTTTAATTTATTTATTTCTTTATTTTTTATGTGTGCTGCTTCTGATGCTGGGCTGGTACATCTTCAGACAGTTTCCACTCTGGTTCTGGTTTCTAAACAACTGTTTTCCTGTTTTCTATTTTCTCTGCAGAGTAAAACCAGCAGAACATGTTTACTCCACTGTTTCCATAGTTACTGAGAGGAGCATGCACGTCCAGAGAAGGCTTTAACGTCACAGTTTGTCTCCTCCGACTGCCATCTAAAAGAACTACACTACCCACAATTCCTGTGACTAATAACATAGCCAACGTTTCGATCACTACAAACAAAGACAGTCAGAAGAACGACACTGCTGTGAAGAGGACCACCATGGCAAACAACCCTGCAGACCACCCTCCGGGGAATTCGGTTGCTGAGGGCAACCATGAAGGGGACTTTGGGGTGAGCATGGTGGACTTGAGGACCGTGATGGAGCTGCGGAGCACTGAGGCCGTCAACAAGATACGGGACACTTACGGAGATGTGCAGGGCATCTGCCGCCGCCTGAAAACATCCCCTATAGAAGGTAAGACCGGTTCAATACACACAACCAAACCATTTAAGTCAGTGGATCTGAAACAGTTCACAACCTACAATTTTTATTAGTCTGTGACAATAAAAACAAATGATCCAAGGTGAATTAGATTGGCAGTGGTCACCGTTATATCATCAATAAATACTTTTGGAAAGTTTTCCCTCCAGAAATCACATTTATTCTGCTTAACTGCTTAACTTCTGTCAACACGTGTTAGCTGGGATAGGCTCCAGCCCACCTCTTCATGACCCCATATATGGTGTTATGTACTAAAAAGTCTGGAAGTTTTTTGTTTATTGGAGCCTTGTGTACAGTCAAGAAAGTTTGCTTTTGGTACCTTAGAATGATCTAAACAGTTTTAATGAAGATACTTTTTTATGTCAAACAATGTCAACAATCATGGGTGATAGTGTTTCGAAAGGTTGGCTCTGGATCTGAACAACAGGTAGTTAAAGCCAGAAGGTTGTACCATTTTAATTGACTGTACGAGATTATTTAGTATGCTAAAAAAAAAGAAAAGAAGAAGCAATAACTACACTTACACCAGATTAATCACACCCAGAGTATTACGCAACTACGCTTCACGTGGTCTGATGAATGACACACCCGGGCCCAGTACATTTCTGCTCTTATGTTTACCTTGAGATTTGGCAGCACACAGCTGAACCTGCTGTAAGCATGAGCACATGAGCCAACACAACCAGCTCATGTACTTGTTCCCTGTTGGAGTGTTGTGGAATCGCCCTTTAAAGGTGGGGACGGGGCAACCTCCATCTTTGACATTCCTAACAGCATTTAAGTCAGACAACACAAATTCTGGGATTTTAGGAGCCCTAAAAACAAAGACTTGGAAACTGCTTACTCTGTTAAATTGAAAAAACGCAGGGATTGTGTTTCAGTCTGGGCAGGTGGCAGTGGAGATCTGTACCATACACGCTTGTTCTTCAAAAAGGGCTTCTTGTCCTTGCCTTTCACAGTAAAACTCCTGGAAATACACAGTATGTGGCTGTCTTAATACACCATATTTTGCTGCTAAGCAACTGAAAGACATGGGTCACATCTTCCTATCAGATAAACCGAAAAAGAAAAAATGTTGATTTTGTAATGCATGTACAAAAATGACGATAAAACCTTTAATTAGTAGCATTAAATAGATGGAAAAACATACATTTAAGAAATTATTTATTAATTTACAGGAGGAATAAAATCTTAATCTGTAGCTACTATTTTCATGACATTATGCACACTAAACATTTTTTATTAGTACACATTTATAAAGAGTGATTCTAATTGTGAAAATAAAAATTGTACTTCAGTTCAAGCTTTTCTTCATAAATCTCTGCATTTAAGAAACACAAAGAAAGAAGCAAGCTATTGCAACAGAAGAAACCAACTTTAACAGTAGTGCACTAATTAACAGTGGTGACGGGACGTGGCATTTTTGCTGTGTACTATTAGGATTAGGATTTGTTGGGTTTACGATTGATTCGATGACCTTTCCATTCCTAATCCATTGATTGATATTCCGGTTGGAATCCGTAGTCTTTTTTCATAATCCTTAGTTAGGATTAGGCAATAAAAATCTGTGGTTATGGTTAAGGGTTAGATGTTAGTTGTCCAAGTTTTCTTATAGCCAGAGTTATGGTTGTGGAAATTCAGGGGAGGTCTGTTCACACTGCCAAAAGTAATGGATTGGACTGAAGGCTATTATTGCAGCACTTTTCCCCTCGTGCAAGTAAAGCTAGCGATTGTCAGACCAATGAGAATTTAGTCTGATAAGATCAAACATGATGAGACTGCAGCCTTATTCAGCAACTCTGAAAGTGACTGTAGCTGGCAGGGCAATAAATAATACCGTTTCTCAAAATTCTTGCTCAGGCATATTGATGGAAGTGCATCAACAGTTACATTGACAACACAAGTAGAGCAGGAGATAAGTGTGTGTGAGCCACGCTTGTTTGGTGAAACATGGATACCCTCGTTATTTTGTGCTAAAAGATGATCATTTTGGAGCTCTATGTGAGACCAGAAAATGGCCGACATGTGGCTGTTTGTTATGTCTCTCTCCCACTCTCATCCTTTGATCCCTCTGTGTTTGTGTATGTGTGTGTGTGTGTTTGTTTGTATGTGTGTGAGTGTGTTTGCAGCCACTGGTCCATTCCAGGATTGAAATTAGTTCCAGCCCGTTCCCCTAATGGCTCCATAGATCATTGCTCCGTTCCATTTAGTAATCAGAGGACAGCTGTAGTCGAGTCCTCCACGCAAGAAATTACTCACTTTAATGAAGAAAGTGTAATTATATTTTCACTGCAGAGGGGGGAGGGGGTAAAAAACAACAACGGGGAAATCTGGGTGTAAGATTTAGGGCAAACACGCATGAAATGAGACTGTTAGTGTGTTACACTGTAAAGACATCAATCCAGGTTTATTAGTAACATCATGTCCTACATGAGCATCTTTTTGCCATCTAAAGGGCTCCTGCTTTTCCTGTGGGGCAGGGTTATATCATACATGGTCAAAGTTTCTTCATAAATGCAAATAATCCCCCTGAACCTAAATCTCAGGCTTCAGCCTGCTCCTACTACTCACTGCTACAGTGAGAGCAAATATACTTAACCATGTAAATCATGAAATAATTGACAGTAAATTCCATTTTTTTAAAAACAAAAACAAAAACTGAGCTTTATGACAATTAAAAAAAAAAAAAAAAAGTCAATTGTCAGGCAACATTTTTGTGCATTTATTGGTCAGTTTGTTTGTCTTAATCAAACAATCACATATAAGGGAGTTAGAGTTAAAAAACTGACAGCACATAGCCTGACGGTGAAGTTGCTAAGCATAGGTCGAATGCCTGTTGGACAAAAGGGGGCAACAAAGTTCATCAAAAGGGGAAAAAGCACAAAAAAGACAACAAGGGATCAAAAAAGTGTTAAGAGAAGCGCAAACAGCAGCAGCAGCAGTGGACAGTTTACATTGTTTTTAAGACTGTTTAACTTCAAGATGGAGAATTTCTTTATCTGGAAACCAAAACTAGCACAAAAGTGGATAAGTGGATCCCACAGACTAGTTGTTTTTGACGCTGCTTCCTAGACACATGATTTTATCTCACACTCATAAGATGTCCAAGAAAATCTCACGCCAGATACAGGAAAACACTCAAGGCCTGTACTTTGTGAAAACAGTGATAAGTTGAAGTGGCGTTTTTTTCTTTTCTTTTTTTTTCTGACATCAGGCTTCTTTTGCACCAACATATAGTCCATAAACATCAGGAAGCACAGAATAAAGTTCATGTGCTTAATTTGCAAATGTGCACGAGCCTGGTTAATAAAGAGACTCGCCAGTGAACGCAGCCTAATCCTGGTTTGACAAAACGTTAACAGGACACTGCACACATTTACGCATATGGCACTACAGCAGTGACTGTTATTTATTCAATTATTCCTGACACACAGAGAATATAGGTCAGGGCCTAACCTTGAATCACAGCCTACTAAACCTGAAACAGGTGAGCTACAGCACAGAGTCACCGTGCTACTGTTGAGTCCTTTTACACAGGTTCAAGAGTCCTGAGACTAAAATGAAAGACAAATCCATCCATTTAGTGCATTCCACAAATGACTTTTATTTATTTATTTATTTTTCTGTTACACAGTCAGTATTTGCATTAGTGGCTGTTGCATCTATAGTGTTGATGGATGTTTACGTAACATGACTTCATAAATCATAAGGCTTTAAATTCAGTGGTTTAAAGCCTTTGGTTATTCAATAAAACTGATAAACCGGTAAAACATTTATGAGATTTAGATTCATTTATATCAATTATGTATGATTGTTCCAGTACATCATATGAGTTTCTCTTTGTGTGTGTGTGTTTCTGTGTTTTTTTGGTTTTTTTTGTTAGTGGCTAAAATGACACAGGAAGTTCATTGATACCAATTAAAATACATTTAGATTCATCGTAACTGATATTTGAAACCTGCCTTAATATGTTCATCTCAGATTCACAGCTCTGATTGCAAGTCTTTAGTACAAGTGTTATTTGACAGTATACGCATGGTTTAAACGGCAGTTTGACTGATTGCTACAGCTGCAAGGTGTACAATGATATATAATATGTAGCTCAATGAAATCAACAATTTATGACAAAACAAATACCTTAAAGTAAATATGGTGTTATTTCTAATTATATAAATATATGTTGTCAAGTCCCTTCTATATATAGTAACCAGTCATCCAATCTTTATTTATTTATATACTCCGCACCGCTGCATTGTTGCACATAAACATCAATATGACATATGTCCTGCTATTGTCTGTCATGTTGCTGTTTTTGGTATTATCTGTTTTCCATGCTGTTAAGAACATTGAGAGCAAAGAAAAAAACGATCCCGTTTCCTTGAATGTGTCCACCTACTTTGTCAAAAAAAAAAGCTGATTCTGATGGACCAGTTATTTGAAATTGTGGTTCAATACAGATGCTCACTTTTAACATGAAAACAAAGAAATCTCTGAAAGTCTCTGTCCCTGAACGTTTATTCAGGGAAGCTGCGCTGACAACAGATAAACATCGGCTACCTCATTTGTCGATACGTTTCTTTCTCTTACCCAGGCTGATACAGGGAGGTGCTGTTATGTGGCTGATATATCACCCCGTCCCTACTTTTTAAAAATTCAATAAACCTATAAAATGTAGCCTAAGTAGTGAAAATGTTTAAGCTATGAAACAGAAAAGCCCAAGCCTAATCATTAAGGTGGCTGTGGTAAAGGCAATGCATTACTAAAACTGTTCTCTGAGATGGACCGACCCTAACTAATCTGATAATTTCACATGTAAAATTAGTGGACTCACCTACTAAATGTTGTTTGTGTCACGGTTTATGGTTGTTTCAGTGCAGGATTTAAAGTTTAGTGCTGGATTTTGACAGCACTGCTACACTGGCTGAACGTATCACAGTTTCCATCCTAATAATAAACTCCAAATTGATTTTACA